AGGGTAAGCTTTTCGCTTTATTTTTACATTTTTCGTTCGCAGCGCGATGTTGTCGTCGCACTGTGATGATGTCAAATGCGCGCTTTCGTCGAGTGCGATTTTGTCCTCCGCGGTTTTGTGGTGGAACCCTAAAAAGCACCTTTTCTTATATTTAGCATTTAAGGTAAATATACAGTTAATTTTTAGTTACACTAAAAAGTATGTTTGCTATTTTTCAGGTTAAAAACATAAGCTATATAAAACCATTCTAGTAGAGGATTTGAGGCAGGTAATTCAGTTTTTATATTAGGATGCACACATTTTGAAAGCAAATTGCCTCCTTTTCCTGACTGTAATTCTTTTTGACCTGAGGAAATAGATAAGGTTCTGGTTGTTACCTATACCAGCTCGGTAATAGATGTATGTCTCCCCTAGTTGGCTAAGGCCTTGGGAGATAACAATCGTAGTAGTGGTTAAATCCTCTTTGAGAGATGGTTCCATTGTCTGTTAAGGAGGCTCCTCCCCTAAAGAGGCCGTCATGATCACCACAGACAATTTATATTGAGTTTCCAACCTTTACCTTTGGGGTAAGGTGGAGAAGTTGATTCCACAGCAGCTTCAAGGAACTATAGAAGAAGTGGATTATCTGGACTCCTTTTAGTCAGGATTCAGGCCCAGGTATGAGATGACAATGATGGCATTCCCTTATGTTTGTTGTACGTTATGATTCTTGACAAATATATCTTGTCTTTTTATGTACACTGAGAGCATATGCACCAAAGACAAATTCCTTGTATCACACTTGGCCAATAAAGAATTCTATTATTGAATGATCCCTGGCAGGAATAGGACAGGGGAAGTTTTGACCTTGCTCTTGATCTCTCAGCAGCTTTCAACACCATCATTCATGGTATCCTTCTGGACTGGCTTTTGAGGGGAGAGAGGTTTGGTGACACAGTATTGTGCTGTTCTCTTATTTTTGAGTCAGTTCCAGTTGGTAATGATAGAGGAAGGGAGGTCCAGTTTGTGGCCTGTTATTTGGAGTACCACAGGATTGGGTGCTCTCTCCTTTCCCGTTGAACATCTACATGAAGGTGAGATCATCCATGGGATCGAAGGAAGGTATAAACAGTCTGCTAATAATACCCAGATAGTCATCTCTGTCCCAGGCTGTCCAGGTGATGCTATGGAGGTCCTGTCACTGTCCAGGAGATTGGGGAACAAAAGGCTCAACCCTAGTAAGATTGAATGGCTTTGGGTTTCCTGGTTCTAGGAATGTTCCACCCCTTGTTTTGAATTCTACTCAGTTCTAAGTTCTACTTGGGCAGATCCTTTGTGCATGCATGGAGATTCTCCTAGTCTTGGGCTCTTGCTTGAAATACAGGGTGGCAGCCATGATCAAGAGGGACTTTGCACAGCTTTGTGATATGCATCCATTCCTGGATAGGGAAGCCCTGCTCATGGTTACTCACACCTTAATCATCTCCCACTTGGATTATTGCAATGCAATAATGGGGCTGCCCTTGAAAAACAGTTGGAAGCTTGCACTGTGCAGCAGCGCAGGCAGTTATGAGTGTCAGTCACTTGTTCATGGACACCATGTTCCATGAGCTGCATTGAGTGTTAGTGTACTTCTGGGTGAAATTTGGAGGTTGGGGGTTAAAGCCCTTTGTGTCTTGGGGCTGTGTTACATCTGGGATCCTCTCTCTCCAGTGATGTCTGCCCATCCTGTCAGAGCTGGCAGGCAAGGTATGCTCTGACTCTGCCCCCAAAGAGTACCATCTGGTAGAGGCAGAATGAGAGCTTGTCTGCCCCAGAACCCATCCTCTGGAACATTCTTCCTTAACATTCTGCTGGCCTTTTGAAAGGTATCGGAAATCTGTCCTGAGAGTTCATGCCTGCAAAGTTGGTTTATCTCTTGTTTTCAATGGGATTGTATTTCAGGGATTTTTTTCTTCCTGTTTTTTAACTCTTTGAGTGACAAAGTCATGTCAGTGGGACAGGTGGCATATGAATATATCAAATAAATTCCAAATGCCCTCTGGCAGAACTTAACTTCTGGAAGGATCCTACTTGAGGACACTTCCAGGGGACACAGTTGCAGACTTCAGGAGCCTGTATTTCCTTAGCCCCCCCCCCTTCCCCCAAGATATATTGGGGGAATCCTTTTCTAGTGGGGGAAATGGTCCTGAAGATACCTAGGTGCCTAACTAAAGCTTTAATCTTGGCTTACATTTTATCTGCAGACCATGTCTATAGTTTCAGCTTTGCTCTTGGAGATAATTGTGGGTTATTTTATGCATCTTAGATTGTGAACCGGCACGGACCTGAAGCAGACAGGCATTTGCTACGCTGTCTCTTTTCTCATGTGGATTTCAGTGGCGATGGTAAAAGTAGCGGTAAAGATTTCCACCAGGTAAGTTGAAGTGAAGAATTTTCTATTATTTTGCTCTTTATGTTTGTCTTGAATTTTGACTACTACACTATTCACTACATGGGGTTGCCCTTGAATACCCCAGTGACACAGGCCACAATAGTGTGCCCATGTAACAACTTTACAAGTGCATTGTTTGTCATTTGCTTCTGGGTGCAATTCAAGATGCTGATCCTTACCTGTAAAGTCCTACATGCCATAGGACCTCTCTCCCATAACATCGGTCTGGCCAACTTGATCCAGCGGGGTTGGTGCCCTCTTGGTTCCTTCAGTTAAACAATATCTCCTCTCAGGACTGTAATAGCACCTGCCCTCTGGAATGAGGTGGTGTCTCTCCACTCCCCCCCCCCCCCGAGATCTGGATATCCCCCACTCATGAAGCTTTTCACCCAGGTCTTTGGCAAGGGGCAGGGAAATTCCTCCATCAAGATTATGGGTTGGTATTTATTGTATTTATTGTATTTTAATTTTGTTGATTTCCCGGAGTTTCCCAAAGCTACTAAGGGTTACTGAGGGAGTTTGGCCTGGTCCTGGAAGATACAGCTGCCTCCATAATCACATTCAGGCACTTGGCAGCCCACCCATATTTATAATTGTAGCCTACGCTTCAGTTGCACACACAACCCCTCTATGGTTTTGGCTGCCTTACACTATGCCACCAAAGGTTTGTGAATGGCCAGCAGCTACCTTGGCCAGAGAGTCCTTGTTAGTGGCAGAAGGAAGAGAGAGAGAAGGTCAGTTGGGGGTAGCCACAGCGGAGTGCAGGATGTTCAGTGGGCAGAAATGGGGAGGGGAAGTTAGGTGAGGGCAATTGAAGCAGAAGCAAGCCTGACGTGGTGATGGAGCTTTGTGCTGTGGCCCGCCAACGGCCAGCAGAGCTGGCAGCAGATTCGGACACTGAGGAAATTGGGGAGGAACATGGGCCGGTCCTGAAGTCTAGTGAAGGCTCAGATGAGGGCTCTGCGTCAGAGGCAGAGAGGGGACCAAGGCCATCTGGTAGTTATTTGCTGCCTTCGGAGTCTGACGGGAGTACCAGAGCCTGCCCAGAGCACAGGATACCATTCTACATGCATCCATGTAGGCAATGCCGGGCCTGTTCCAACCATATGGGTTGGAATGGGATCCGGAACCCACCACTGGCACATATGCAGAGCTGCCAGAAAACAAGAACAATTAAGAAAACAGGTTGACTATAAGGCTTGGAAATGATTGGCCCCTCCCATAAGACATAAAAGAGGAATAAGAGGGAGCTTTTGCAGGAAGCAATTAGTCATCTGGTCGGTTCAAGCTTTGAAAAGTTCTGTTTCACTCTGTTAAGTTTGACCTTGCTCTGCATTTGGCAATTAGGTCTCTGGCAGCATTCCAAGGGAGATAAGATGGGTGTTTATCAACATTTCCCTGAAAGATTGTGGCAACTCAAGCAGACATCTGTCGGAACCTTATATTTGTGAAGGCTTGCGGACTGTTAATGACCATAATTTACAGCCATATGAATAAAAGAGGGTTTTGGGACTAAGATTGTGATTTATGCTTTCTCAGGAAGCCTAGGTCAGAACACCTTGGAGTAGGGATGAGGCACTGGGCAGGAGATGGGCCTGTGTCTGACCTAATGGCTGCAATCTGGATTACCAGGTCAGCCATTGCTAAACTGTGCAGCAATCCTATGATGTTTTGCTTAACAATCACTTGGCTTTGCAAGGGACGTTCCAGTCCTAGTAAGGTCCCTTCACTTTTGAAAGAAGTTCCCATGCCAGGACTACCTGTATGTATCTACATACCTATCTATTTGGAGGAGAATCTGGTGACCCTGAGTGGGTTTCATAGTGGAATTCCTACCAAAAAGGCCTGTGCCTTCAACTCTTTTATTCTCCATAATGAAGGGGGAGGAGTATCCAGACTGGGTTGACCTTGTCCTCTCATTGATTGGATTGAGTCAGATAAGCCTTTGGGACATGCCCCTGGCCACCAGGTATTCCCCAGTTATCGACTCAGTCCACTCACTGGACAGTTCACCATTCTGGATTGCCAGCAATTTGCAAGGAATTTAAGGAAAAAATACTTGGATCTGTGAATCTTACCTCCCTGTACCGCGCTACAGCCTCTTCCTGCCACTGGACTGCCACAAGCTCCCTAGGGCAGCACGCTGCCCTGGTCACTGAGTGAGACCTGAGTCAGGGCACGCTGCCCTGGCCACTAAGTGAGACCGGAGTCCTCACCTGAGTGAGGACCTGTGTCGGGCAAGCAGGAGGAGAGGGCACAAACCTCCTGGAGGTAAGCCCTGCTGCGGAGGCTCTACAAGTGCAGGAGCGCTCCCCTCGGGTTGAGGACAGACCGTGGCTTGTTAAAAAACCCCGGAGGGCCTGCGCTGGCAGCGATCACCAGAGAACAAGGTGAGAGCTGGAGAGGTTCAGAAAGAGCTGCGGGAGGCAGAGAGAGGCGAGAAAGAGAGCCTGGCAGCGGAAGCCACATGACAGCCTACAAAGGCACAAGCCATTTCCATGTGCTCCAGCAAAGAGGAGCTTTTTGAATTTGGAGCCGGGGGCCATTTTGAAATCATGTGGTCCAAGATGGCGCCCCCCCCAGCAGCTCAGAGGAGGCTGGCAGGAGCGGAGCTCTCAGCCCTGCAGCACTGAGGAGCCCTTAAAAAGATTAGAGATCAGCTAAGGGAGGGGGAGGCAAGCAAAGGCCAAAAGGAGGCATATCTCCCATCAAGGGGGCTAAAGAGGCAGGCTGTGTATCAATCCCCCCCCCACTCCAAGCCTACCTCCAAATGTGAAAGGCAGAGGCATCTGCCATAAGGCCAGCAGCAGGAAGACACCCACCCACCCCTGGAAACTGAGGAAAGATTACCAGATTTCTCTTCATCTGGCAGGGCTACAGAAGCGGACCCCTCCCTCCAGGTGAGGATTCCTTTTGGCTTTGTAATCCTGTGTTCCTGCAACCTTGCTATCATTTATGCAACCTCTATTCAATCCTTTTCTGAGTGCCTGACTAGCCAGAAAAGCCCAGACAGGGCAACTAGGCTCAGATAATTGCTGAGGCTTCCCCTTTAAAGAAGGTCTTCCCTTTAACAAAAAACTTCCCCTTTAAGGAAGAGGAAAAAAAGCAGCGGAAGGGGGGGCAGAAGGCTCTCAGCAATCTGCTGTTAACAGCAGGAGGCCACAGGTGAGCTCAGCAGCTCTTAGTAGCACAAGCTGTTTTTCAAAGTCCTGAGGGCAGGGCTATTGTATTTGTCCCACAGAACCATTTGGAAAGAAGGGGGAGGAGAGGCCACACATGGCCCAAGATGGCAGCCTCCTGCAGCTCGGAGGACACAGGCAGGAACCAAGTCCTCGCTTCTAAAGCCAGCAGCCCCACTAGAGGGGCAGAAGAGCCTCCAATCAAGTTAGAGATTACCCCTGAAGGTCCATCCAAGGGTGGGGGCGACTAGGCAAAGAGCAAAATACAATGCAATACTATACAATACAATAGCAGAGTTGGAAGGGACCTTGGAGGTCTTCTAGTCCAAACCCTTGCCTAGGCAGGAAATCCTATACCATTTCAGACAAATGATTATCCAACATCATCTTAAAGACTTCCAGTGTTGGGGCATTCACAACTTCTGGAGGCAAGCTGTTCTACTGATTAATTGTTCTAACTGTCAGGAAATTTCTCTCCCCTCCCCTTCTAAGTGGCTTCTCTCCTGGATTAGTTTCCACCCATTGCTTCTTGTT